CAACTATCTCGGAGCCCGGAACAGATTACTACACTGTCGTCATTAACTGATACCAAAGAACCAATGCTATCGATAATAATTATATATAAAAAAAAAACTGGCTAAAAGCGAAGCTCTCGTTCATATATTTATAAACCAAAAAATTAAAATGGCGTAACGCTAAAGTGTTAAACGAGACGATTCGCAACGGCAATTTTTTGTGCAACACGGCGTTGCAACATTCTTGCGACATTTTTTCGAATGGTTACAACATTGTTCCAGCATTGCAACGCTGTGTTGCGCTAAAAATCGTCGTTGCGAATCGTCCCGTGTAACATCACCTTAAAAGTCCGGGTGACCATGCGATTTCCCGCCAAAAAGACCTCGAGCTGCATTGGGTTGCCATACCTGTTGAGTTATTTTACATTGGTATGCTTGTGGTGCCGATGGATGGACGGGCGAGTGTAGAAGTTCACTTTTTTATTGCTTAGCGATACTGGTGCCAAGTTAATATACCTGCCAACTTTTTCTGAGATATAAGCGTGAGATTTTTATCCTGGGAGTGCTGGAATTTTTGAAGACGACACGATCATTTTCGAAGATTCCCGAAGAAGTCCGAAGACGTCCGAAGTCTACCGAAAGCGAAGTTATCGAGAAAACGCTTATCCACAAGGACCGACGTTAGTTGATAAAAATCAGAGATCGCGAGGAAGGTATTGTCATTTATTCATTTTACACCTGGTTTTCGCTCCTTACATGGGTCTGAGTTAACATAGTTTTGGAAATTGTGTCAAGCAAGACGGCAACAACTCACATTTTTCAATCAGGCGTGAGAAATTGGCCCGTAGGCGTGAGCCGGCGTGAGATCGAAGTTTTCAACCCGCAGGCGTGAGGCTCACGCCTAAGGCGTGAGAGTTGGCAGGTATAAGTTAATGACCATCTGCATTTTAAAGCATCCAAATGTTGTGACACGTATTATAACAATAAAATGAATCCACGAGCGTAGCCAACGTCAGGGGCCCTGTTGTTTCTTACACTCCTTTAGTGTCTAGAAGTCGTTAAAAGCAGTGTCCAGCCGTTTCCAAGTCATTTTGAAGGGGGTCTTCTTTTTCTACACACCGGGGAATTATGTGGAAAACGACGACCGTGGTTGAAATTATGTATAATTCAAAATCGTCAGGAGCCGTTTTGTTTCTTAGACTCCTTTAGCGTCTAGAAGTCGTTAAAAGCAGTTTCAAGCCGTTTCCAAGTTATTTTGAGGGCGGTCTTCATTTTCTACACACCGGGGGGATTGTGTAGAAAACGAAGACCCTGGTCGAAATTTTGCATAATTGAAGATATTGTTGTTTCTTACACATCTAAGGTCGAGATACCCATTTCTAGATATTTATAAGTGATTTTGAGGGGGTCTTCGTTTTCTACCCACCCTTTGGTTATGTTCTTTAACTCTGAGACAGCCATGTCATAATATTGTCATCTCTTCAGGGGCACCCAACGGGAAATTTTGAGAAAAAGACCTAAAAACAACAATAAAGCGTGAATAAAGTTTTCTGAGACTATTTTAAGCATTTTGGGAGATTGCTGGAAAAACATTATCTGTTCCTCACTCCCAGCAAGACTGATGGAAGAGTTCCCAGCCAGCAACCTTACAACCTGCAACCTGACTTTGTGGGAAGTTTCATAGGGGTCAATTCAGATCTTGAGTGGTAAGCAACCCATACAAGTAACCCGTAGCAGCTATTCTAGACTTCAAATCCCCGCTGACACCCTGAATTATCTTTTTCCCAGCAACACTTTCCTTCCAAGGACTATTATTTCTTCCACATCTCCCAGCCAGCAAAAATTTGCATGAAGAACAGATATTTTGAGGAACAGATCCATTGGGTGCCCCTGTCTCTTATACTTGTAGGACTAACAAGTCACTAACTTTCACGATTAAGAGTAGTAAACTTCTCCCTTAACAGTTAAAAAAGTGAAAGTTTTTTGCCCGTCGTTTTTTCTTTACTGAAAGCTAAGACAATCTGTCTGCGGTCAGAGGCCTCCCATCTCTTTAAAACAGAACTGCTGTCAATTTCCGTTGGTTTATGAATGTACGATAAAGCAAGCCTGTTCAGCCTCGCATTAGCCATGCTTGTTCGATTCGGGACCAGGTTTCAAGCCTTCTCATGATCAGTGAGCTGAAGTTTCTTAAAAAAAAACGGCCAAAATCAAGACGAGGCAACTGCCTCGTCTAGCCTCATGCTAGCTACGGCCCTGTTAAGAGCTGACACCATTGTGACATCATTGTCAAAAGTCCATGTGTAATCCATGTGTTAAAATGGACTCATAGTAAGACTAAGCTAAAGCTAGTAAGGTATAAGATGTCCAAAGATGCAAGATATGCCCACCAAAATACTGGGTTAAGCCATCTTAAGAACCGAAAAGAAACTAACATGAAAGAAAGCGTTTAAACAACAAAAGGTTTCTTGACATTACAAGCCATCTTCATGTACACATCTCATATGATTTTCATAGTGCTGAAGAAGGAGATCTTCACTATCCCTCTCCTCTTGACAAATCCAACAGCTGTATTTCTCAATGATGGCTGATTGAGGGTCTACCACACCACTGTCTCCACTCTCGCTCTGGGTCAATGGGGTGTTTGTAAGTCCTGAGTTATAATCAAGTCTTTTACTTCCTTCTCGCTTACGCTTACAACAAAAACGTTTGGAGGGACACTCCTTACTGTGACGATTATGAGACTTTGCTTTAGTGTGGAGTTCTTCATGTTTCCTAGGATTTCCTTTTAGACTAAAACACTTGCCACACTGTTTACATTCATATGGCTTTTCTCCAGTGTGAATTCTTTCATGAGTCCTTAGGTGTCCTGTTCGCCTATAACACTTGCCACAGTGTTTACACTCATATGGCTTTTCTCCAGTGTGAACTCTTTTATGAACCTTTAGGGATCCACTAAACCGAAACCTCTTGCCACACTGTTCGCATTCAAATGGCTTCTCTCCCGTGTGGATTTTTTCATGAATCCTTAAGTGTCCTGCTTGACTAAAGCACTTTCCTCACTGTTTACATTCGAAAGGTTTCTCCCTAGTGTGGACTTTTTTGTGACTCCTTAGGTTTCCTGTGTGGTTGAAACACTTGCCACACTGCTTACATTCATAAGGCTTTTCTCCAGTGTGAACTGTTTCATGAATCCTTAGGTGTGGTGCTCGACTAAAACACTTGCCACACTGCTTACATTCATAAGGCTTTTCTCCAGTATGAACTCGTTCATGAATCCTTAGGTGTGCTGCTTGACTAAAAAACTTTCCACACTGTTTACATTCGAAAGGTTTCTCCCTGGTGTGGACTCTTTTGTGTCTCCTTCGGTTTCCTGTGTGGATGAAACACTTGCCACACTGCTTACATTCATAAGGCTTTTCTCTAGTATGAACTCTTTTGTGTGTCCTTAGCCTTCCAGATTCAATAAAACACTTGCCACACTGATTGCTCTTCAAAGACATGAAGTGCTACTTCATTTCTCCAATCCTATTTTTATAAAATAAAAGAGTTTTTTTGTTAAAAGCTTTATTTTTAAGTACATGATTTAGCTATACAAAAGGGACATTCTCATGAGATCACCAAACTCATGCAAAAGAAAGACCTTAATCATAGTAGAGATGTACTTTAAAGCCAGGTCAAGCGTACTCCCAAAGATTATATTAATGAATTCATTATTTGAAAGTTGAATCTGTTAGTCGTTGCTGCAACAAGTATCAAAATCCATTCTGCATACCTGCATGTGTAGTGAGCAATGATTTTTTTACAATAACTCGTCTGTATTTTTGGTAAGATTGAAATACCCTAGAATTGGAAAAAGTATTTCAGGGACACTAATTACATCAAATCAAAAGAAAACTAAACTAGTAGAAATTTGATAAATACCTTGTGTGTGAATGCACTGCTCATTATGCATGCTCATTAACAATAAACATGCACAATGAGCAGAGTCAGAGTCAGTGAGTCATTATACAGATATGAATGCATAAATGAATCTACATGTATAATCATTAATTAACCACCAAAGGATTTGAATAATAAATTCATTAATGCAATCTGGGGGGTATGCTTGCCCTGGCTTGACTGTAATATGCCCAAAAAATTCAGATGTGCATATAGTTTTGCCAGGGGGAAACAGTTCACTTATTGCATCAAGCTGACTCATACAGTAAGGTGTAGAGCATCTGTGACCCGAAAAGAGGTTTATATCGATAATCCTTTTAAAATAAAACACAGTTTTAAAGAAAGGAGGGGTATAGCCTCCCATTAGAGTTCTTTCAAAACTAAGCACACGATTGTACACTTTATTAAGGTTTAAGCTTGTGGAAGGGCCCATTGTAAAGGCAGACTAACCCAGCCACAGTAGTAATAGTTAAAATGAAGATAATGATCACCACAGTTGTATAGCATTTTAAGCCACCGCAAATAAATCCCCCAAAATTTCATGACTATGATAGGGTGAATTTCCAATAATATTACTACATGTATCTGAATATGATGATCATCTCTTCATTGCAGGTGACAAGAGGAGCCTGAAGACTAATCTTGATCAGTGGTACTCTATTAACTGTAAAGGGAGATTTTTCAAAAATCTGTCCACATTCTTGGGATGCTCATGTTGCACCAACTAATATGCATGGTAAGTGGCTGCAAAGGACCTGTCTATTAGTTTAAGCTCCAACTGATGTCACACTAATCAGATGAATGCACATGCAAGGGATGCAATAATCATTGTTCGAATCGTAACCACAGGTAATTCGGGTACACAAGTACTGTATCGATACTGTACAAAATGTGAGACAATTTGCCTTGCCAGTCGGGAAACTGTTACCCAGGTAAATGATTTAAGTAGCGCCTAATCTCAGCTTAGTGCGGGATGAGTCTTCGGTAAGATACAAGTGTTAGCAAAGTCAGTCTAGAATTCCAAGTAAATTAAGTTTATTCGGGTTTCACTCCAGTACATGGATTTTATATTTTTATATGTTTCCAAGCATGTTACATCGCTTTTCACCTGACAGTAGCCTGCTTAGCATGGTGGTTTTGGTTGGGCATGCAAAGTAATAAAGGCGGGTGAGAACAGAGAAACTGCAAGGAGATTAGGGCAGGAACAACGAGACACCGCCTGCACGGACGGGTGGCCTTTTTGAGTAGTCTGTATGCCTGCATACGGATCATTCCGATTGGATCAGAATGTTCGCCCGTCAATCAAATATTTGGTAATCTCCCATGGGAGAGTTCCAAGTGATTGAACAAGTCTTCTCCACAAAACAAAATCAAAATATCAAAGAAGCGTTGACCGGAGCATTGTCAATCTTGAATATTGAACAGGAAAACAGGGCAATTGTATGGAAGCCTGAACAGCAAGCCTGAACAGTCTTCTTCATAGGAGAGTATGACAATTTTGTCAACTGGTTTTGGCAAGAGCATGACCTTTACTGTGTTTGCTATGGCCCAAAAAGAAATGTCCTCATTGAAAACCTGTATCGGTATGATCCCAATTTCACCTCTAAAAAGTATAATAGACGACCAGATTTTGGAAATGTTAACGCTGAGCTGTACAGCAACGGAGCTTACCATAGAAACAGTTAGTTTGCTTGGAGAAAGTCCACCTCAATTATCTCTGTTACTCAATGTTATAAAATAACGCACTACATTGCATGGTGTCGGTGATTGTGGTCGATGAATTGCACACAGTTATTAAAAAGAAAGACGCACAGCATAATTCTCTATACTTGGTGTAGCTTTAGTTTAAGCTACAAGAAGAGTGCCCTATCCATAAAAATTCAACATCCTGCAAACAACACTTGAAGCTGGGCCCAGCGTCAAAACAAAGATGGAAATGATCACATTCAAGGACAAAGAAATAACCAAGGCTCCTTGGTTTGTAATTATTCAGATCTAGGCAAAGAAAACCAAAAAACCTAAAATGTTTATTTAGCCGTAATAAAAAGCTTTAGGCTTTAAGAGTGGTCAAAGAAATGAATACTTTAGAACTGCATCTGAGATCGACAAATCCTATCAGAAACACCTACAGGAGCATCAACCACAGGAACTAATTATTCAATATGGATGAAACAAACCAGCTTCACGACGTCCTGAAAATGAAAGTAAAACTTAGTGCAGCAGAAATAAGATTTACTCAGCCAAGTTTAGAATGCAGTGTAGTCACCTACCCAGGAGATTAGTAGTATTGAAGAAAAACCTGTGTTTGTTCATCAAACTCCAAGGTCACGTTTTACATTATATCACCAGCTCTTGAGTCGTGTTAAAGCCTGTCAACACTTTATTTCTGATTGGCTGAGAAACCTAAAACCAAACAAGTTGTCAACAGGATGCCGTTGAAATGAGTTGATGGGGGTGACAGTTGAAAAGGCCACGAATGCGGGCAGGCAGTTTTTATTTTTCTCACTTGTTTGCATGTACTTTGTGCACGTTTTTATGGCTTTGTCGCTCAGTACTGCTCGTGACAAAACCGCAATGCTATGCAGGCTAACATGAAAGATCCTATACAGCATGGATACAACTGTTAAGGCTTGAATAATATTATTCATTACATATTCATTTAGATTTACAATGTCAGTAATCAGATGGATAGAATACTGTCACATGCAAGCAATTTCAGGCTGAGATTTTTCAGTTTTGATTTGTCTTTTGGTCTTCTCTGTAATGCACAATTCTATGATATTTTCTAAGTTTCCACTTTCAATGATATTGAAGTTTAGATTAGACTGCGAGCAGTCTCTCTTCTGCTCAAAAATCTGAGAGTAAGTGATAGGGATTGTGATATGGATGTGTTGCCTGTTTCCAAGATTCTAACAAAATGAGCCCCAGATAGACGCGAATAATGAAAGGAGAATTATAAACAATTGTCAAAAAGCTCAACCGATAGTTTTCGCCAAAGCTGCAGCTCTCTCTTTGCAAACAATTTAGGAGTTCATTCAAGACGGTATATGTTTTTGAGGAAAAGGCGGTCTTGTGAATTTTGGCATTGAAGATGTCCGACAAGAATCACAATCGCTCTGAATCGCCGCTCGGTGTTTGGACAAATCCAGCATACAAAACCTGTCATCTCTGCTTGCTAAACATCTAGTTCTGGTTAAGTTACTCATTCAGTGCGGCTCAGCTAATCAGGAATTTACGGACGCCAGCGTCCACAGAAATGAACAAAAGGCGGTACTTATAGTAATACTTATAGCGGGCTTCTCTTACCCTCTCTCCCCAATCCTCCTCCCTTTTTCCCTTTCTCCCTATCCCCTACCCTTTAAATTTCAACGCCTGCTACGCAGTCAATAGGATAGCCTGCATAGCAAGCTTCGGAGCAATGAAAGACCTAGCCTACGACCGCAAACGTATTTCCGATAAATAAATACGCTAAGAAAGACGGAGGAACGGGATTTTCGGTTTTGAAAATTGAAGGCAAGGCTGATCGGACAGCTAAGGGCTAAAATTTATTTGCCCAATATTTCGACTAGACAAAACTAGTCTTCATCAGGGACTAGAGAAGCTAAGTGAGAATAGACAATAGAATAAACGGTTCTAGTATTTAAAATTAAACAAATTTAAAAATAAAATGTGATTGATGGAGGAACTGACAATAGACGAAAACTTATATGATGAGGTAATATACAAAATAAACGTCAAAAGATTAAATTTGATCTCGTCTGTTTATCCCATAGGGTTAAAGTTCTCGGTTTTGGCTGCGCGAAAAATGGAACGAGGACCAAAAATGACTAAGGGAGGAGGGGAAGGGGGAGGGGGAGTGGAAAGAGATACGCTTGCAGAAGAGCCATGCGATTTTGAAAATCCTGCTCGCCAGCGAATGGAGCGCCTGATTGGCTCGGCATTATTGACATGTGTCGATCAAAGGTTTATCACACTGATAGGCCAAGACACGCAATCTTCTGCAGTTATTGTTTATTCTAGTTGGAAAGATTTGCCCTGTGATTCAAGAGCATTTTCTTTGACGGCTTAGCATTTGAAACGTAAAACTCTTCTTGTGGCTAAATAAGGGGTTTAGGTTGTTTAATTTTCTCCAAAGCGCCTCCTGGATCTGAATAGCTAAAAGCGATTTTCTTTTGTCCCCGAATGCAATGGTTTCCTGCAATGATTTGTCACGCTGGGCCCAGCTCGTTTATATTGTTTTTTGCATGATGCAAAATTCTCTACGATAATGGATCATAGTCATTTAGATTAAAACTTCGAAGAATGGATTGCACCTTAAACTAAGGCTACATCCGGAGACTTGCATTGTGACTTTTGATTGATTGCTCTTTAAGCAATGATTACTTGGAAATAAATTTTGAATAAGCTTAACAGTCTTGCCACTGTTCAGTTATTGCCACTTTGTGATCAGGGCAAGACCATGGTTTCTGTTCTCCACGCGAACGGCGAACCTCATCACTTGCCAAATTGGCTTTGTTCTTAATTGCTTTTACAAGAGCAACTCCAGTTGTTACGTGCCGTGGCGAGAACGGTAAACCCCCGTTCTGTCTAGCTGAAGTTTGATCTTGTACAAACACTGAAATACCCGCGTGTCGGATCGAACATTCTAGACTTTAATACTTTAGTGTCACAATTTACCACCTCAAATCCAACTTTCTGGACGGTTTTGAGTTAAAAGTTCAAAACTTCACCCTTGCAGTCCTTCCTTTTAGACGTATTAAAAATATCCGCTGGGGGTATTAATTCACTAAGATGAAAAGAAAAGGAGAGGAAACGAAAAAAGAAAAGATCGCATAAACGATACCAGAATATACGCTGTAATTTATTACAATACAAAGTTTTAAATTTTGTGTCAGCTTCCTTAATACTCGAATCGCAAAAAAAAAAAACACTACAAAAACAACTGTTTTTACTATTTAACTCAGCTCTTCTTTTGTTGGATAGTGCGGTCAAACACATCCACGAAAAGTAGAGAGTTTTTTGCCTGCTGGAATGGATAATAGCGACAAAAACTAAAATGTTATTATGTCCACTAGCCTTACGCTAACAAATCAATTAACGAATAGAGAAAGATTTGACAGTTGAGAGGGTGATCTTATGTTTTCTAAAAAACACATTTTCAAACAAACTTCGTTCGTCTAAGAAAAATACCCACCTCTTACAGCACGTTACAGCGGCTAAAGACTCCCTATCAGTCTATAACAAAGCTACCATTTAAGAAGTGGCAAAAACACCGTACAGAAATTGTTGTGAAATCGGATAATAATAAATACTTAATGACTGGTTACAAGGGAAACAGTTAATTTTGTTTCCCTCGAATCTCAATGTTTCCCTCGGCTTCGCCTCTGGAAACATTAAGATTTTCGGGAAACAAAATTTACTGTTTACCGAGGGACCAGTCTTAAAGTGATTTGTTATATAGCTGGAAATTTTGAAGCTGGAAATTCATTAAACCTCGCTGTCACGGCGGTCATCGGTCAACATTCGCAGGTAACATTGCATTGTTACCCTCTGATGTCACAGGCAATGTTGCCCGCTCAGAGAGTTTGGCGGGAAACAGTTTCATTGTTAGATGTCATGTGACCTCGCAGTAAGCAATGAGACCGCGCGCTGCTGAGAAGAAATTTCCAGCTATATAACAATTTGACTTATTGTAGACGCACGGGTATGCTGATCGAGAGGTAGCAGGTTCACACCCCACCCCCACCAACAACAAGGGACATTATTAAATTAGATGATCATGTTGGTTGTGATTAACACCGAGACTCTGTTTCGATGATTGGTCATTGGACGGCGTTGTTGGGACGTTGCTCGCCACTGCCATCATTTCTTCACGTTTTAAAAATCTTATGTCAAAGATGCCTTTCAGTCGGCATTCTGGCCCTCATTACATAGGCTGTACGAGTTTGGCTGCGTAGCGTATCTTGTTACTAAACACTGTACGATTATCATTAGCATTCTTATAAATTTGCAAATAGAGAAAAAAGTCCTATACAACTGCACAGCAGGTTGAAAGTTCCACCGCGAAGAAAATTGTTTTTGAATTTTTATAGCCAAGAGTATCAATGCACTGGCCCCGGCATCAAACTGTTATTTTCTAAGGATTATTCTTAATGCTGCGAGCCCACAGACGAACGGCACACTAATCTTACGGTTTCCTGTGCTTTCTTGGGTATTGTGTGGCTATTCAGGCGTTATACGGTCCAGTCTATAAAAGACAGACAGGACACCTATAGGACCGGCACTTAAGAGTCCGTCCTAAGAGAAATGGCTGTCTTCTAGAAAGTCAAATGAAGGGAGTAAAGAAAGCCAGGGACAGAGCTTGACAGAGGTGTTTGTATTATAGTGGGGTCCGTTAAGAGAGAGTCGACTGTTATCCTCTTAACATGGGGATAGCGCTATCTAGTGGACAAATCTTTGTCAAGTGGATAACAAAATTGGTTTCCCCGACACGTGGCCACTGGATATTGATTAATGCAGTGAATAACACTGTACACCATTTGGAAAACCAGGGCCTGGATTTATGTTTGTCAGGATGATTTTAGGATATTATATACAGCGGTGTCATGAAATCATAGCTCTCTGTTAGGCCATTCTAATTGCGCTAAGTTCCACAAAATATGACGTGCGCAAACAATTTATGAGTATTTTGTAATTCGGTTTAAGCTAAATAAACCATATTTACTTACTATTTTAGTATGACTGTAAACTGGCCAATGACGACCCAGGTCACGAGAAACTTGTGACTGTAGGGCTTCCTTGTTGTCCTTTATCCCATAACTATTAATTAACCCAACAAAAGGATCTCTAATGGGCCAAATCTGTATGTCAGTTCATCGTTTTAATGTTTTGCTGCCCAGGATCTGCTCGCAGCATAACACAGTCAACCCTCTTTAAGACGGACACCTTTAGGACTGACACCACGTGTCCGTCTTAGAGAAATGGTTGTCTTATAGAGAGTCAACGAAAAGGAGTAAAGAAAGGCAGGGACCAAATCTAGGTCTCCATTTTACAAAGGTGTTTGTAATATAAGAGGTGTCCGTTAAGAGAGAGTCGACTGTGCTTGCAATTAGTATCTACTAGTTAATAATGTAACAAGACTACCAAAGAATTGTGCTCTCCATGCAACGAAACTCAATGTCTACTAATTTTAACCTGGGTTTCTCTCTCCCACGTTTAAAAGTATTTCCTTGAATAATTTTCTCTTTACGTTTGAAAGCATCCGATCATCGAATTGTTGACAAAACGAATTTGACTGAATTTGCTTTTCAAGTTTCATATCTGAATACATATTTGGCAGTAACCCTGGGTTATCTTAACCCTGATTTGAACAACCAGGTCTTGGGCAAAAATAGTCCTTTACTTTGGCTTGTAGAATGTATAAGGAAAATTTGTTAAAATAATTGAAATTTCCCTGAAACATCCAGGAAGTAGCAACTATATTTGCATAAAGTCAAGTATTACTTAATGCATAAAAATAGCCTTAATGTAGAAATTCCACAATATTTCGAAACAGATTTTTTAAACCTTTGCACACCAGGGAAAGGCACCCAAACTTCAAGTAGGGGAGAGCATTTCCAAAGAAAACTTGAATAAGGGCTGAAATTAGATTAAAAGATGTCACCATTGTGACGTCACTGTCAAAATTTAGTTTATGTGTAATCCATGTGTTATAATGGATTCACAGCAAGACTAAGCTGAAGATGGTAAGGTATAAGATGTCCAAAGATGTAAGATATGTCTACCAAAACACTGGGTTAAGCTATCTGAAGAACTGAAAAATTACTTACAAGAAAGAAGGCGTGAAAAAACCGAATGGTTTCATGACATTACAAGCCATCTTCATGTACACATCTCATATGATTTTCATAGTGCCGATGAAGAAGATCCTCACTTTCCATCTCCTCTTGACAAATCCAACAGCTGTGTTTCCCAGTGATGGCTGATTGAGGGACTACCATACCACTGCATCCAGTCCCGCTCTGGGTCAGTGAGTTGTTTGTCCTAATATCTAGTCTTTCTCTTCCTGCTTGCTTACGCTTACAACGAAAACTTTTAGAAGGACACTCCTTGCTGTGACGATTATGAGACTTTGCTTTCGTGTGGAGTTCTTCATGTTTCCTAAGATTTCCTTTTTGACTAAAACACTTGCCACACTGTTTACATTCATATGGCTTTTCTCCAGTGTGAATTCTTTCATGAATCCTTAGGTGTCCTGTTCGCCTATAACACTTGCCACAGTGTTTACACTCATATGGCTTCTCTCCCGTGTGCACTCTTTTATGAACCCTTAGGGAACTTAACTGACTGAAACACTTGCCACAATGTTTACATTCATAAGGTCTCTCGCCAGTGTGTAATTTTTCATGACTCCTAAGACCTACTGAGGTGCTAAAACACTTAGCACACTCTTGACATTCATAAGGCTTCTCTCCAGTGTGAACTCTCTCATGGACTCTTAGGTCTTTTGCTATGCTAAAACACTTACCACAGGTTTTACATTCATGAGGCTTTTTCCCAGTGTGAATTCTTTCGTGAACCATTAGGGATCCTGCTTGGCTAAAACACTTGCCACACTGTTTACATCCATAAGGCTTCTCTCCAGTGTGAACTCTTTCATGATACCTTAGGTTTCCTGTTTGGGCAAAACACTTTCCACACTTTTTACATTCATAAGGCTTCTCCCCTGTATGAACTCTTTTATGAGTCCTCAAGGTGTGCGCTTGGCGAAAACACCTGCCACATTGTGTACATTCATAGGGCTTCTCTCCACTGTGAACTCTTTCATGTCTCCTTAAGGCTCCTGCATGGCGAAAATACTTGCCACATTGTTTGCATTCATAAGGCTTCTCCCCAGTGTGAAGTCTTGCATGAATCCTTAGGTGTACTGCTTGCCTGAAACACTTTCCACACTGTTTACATTTATAAGGCTTCTCTCCAGTGTGAAGTCTTGCATGAATCCTTAGGTGTCCTGCTTGGCTGAAACACTTTCCACACTGTTTACATTCATAAGATTTCTCTGTAGTGTAAACTCTTTGATGACCCCTAAGTGCCCCTGCTTGTGTAAAGCCCTTCGCATGCTTCTTGCACCTTAAGGACATGGAGTGCAGTTTCCTTTCTTCAATCAATCCTATTGACATAATAAATATTGTTTAAGGCTTAACTTTTATAATAAAAAGTGGCACTGCCACTAGTCATGCATAAGGAAAAAAACATGAATGACTACAAGTGAAATGAAATGAATGAGATCAGAGACTTTTTCTAAAGGCTTTTTACATTGCAATCTTAACAAAAAATGGTATTTACAGACAGCAAGTTACATAGAAGCAGTACTCCAAACGGTTGGCACTACTATAACCAACTTACAAGCTGAAACTAACAATAACTAGCTCACAATTTGATACTATGCAATTGTGCATTGCTTGTAATATGTACACGAAAGAAAGATGAAACATTTGACACAAAAATTATCATGATGGTTGAGCTTGTTTAAGTAGACAGTGGAGGAAGATTTGTACGTTTTTGTACAGGGGACTGACAAGAACAAAGCGAAAAAAAAATACACTAAGGTTTTTCAAAATAAAGTGTGCAAGAGCTCCCACTATTTGCTGGTGCTATTCACAGGTTTAAGCTCCAGTAGATAGGTCGATTTAAGGTATTGTAGAAAATCTTGTATATTAGGAAACAAAGGTTTTCTTATTTTTACATATCCAAATATAATGTCTGGCTAATAATAGACAGAAATTTATTTGATTGAGGTTTTTTGAAGGCATCTAGTGTCAATCCAAAAGCTGTAGAAATATTTAGTGTGTAATTTTGTGGGATAATTTGGTATAAAGTAGGTCATTGGAATTCCAGGAGGTAGTTACAGGAGCAAATTGGATCATTTGTCACTCCCATTTTTGTTAAAAAGTCATTGGTCCATAGTCGTCTCTGTAGAAGTTTGAATTGAAATTCCACAATTCTTGTGCTTTTAGTGCATTTTGGAGCAAGGCCTCCTGTCATTTAATGCACTGTCACCTTCTTCCTATTAAACCGAAGATTAAATGGTGTTAAGATTAATAAAAAAAGTGCTCTAAGCTTTGCTAAATTTGGCCAACTGGCATGATATGAGTCCCAATTAAATTGAACGGGTGTTTGTTGTGAACCACCAGTGACAAGGAGGCTTACAGAATGTAATTAACAACATGAGAATGATACTTCACATCATACAAATGCCAAAGACTTTCGGCATGGTTTCAGGATATACACGTTTTTTCTTGCAGATACTCCTTAAAAAGTAAGTGTCATCCATGAAGCAATATGTTTTGCTTATTATTGCATTTCTTCTGTTCAGCTGTAGTCAGAAATTCAACCACTTTTTCTTTGGAAAGCTGTAAACACCACTTTTGTTCAGTTTACTTAGGAAAAGACAGCAAGACTGGATGCTGCGCTCTCCCCAACTGAAGCGCACATTGCTTGGGAACGAATATAATTGAATATGGTGAGGACAATCTCTCAGGCAAGCCAATATCCCAGCAAGCCATAAAGGGGTTTGTCTATTTTACAACTCTCAGATGAATGTTTACATTTCTTTAATGTTGGAAAAAAAGAAAAACTAACTAGTGCAGTGGTGAGCATGCTGCAAATGACACAAAAAAGTACAGTGACTGGTTGAATTTCACCTTCTTGAAACTGTGATTGGACCAGAGCTTGACAGGCAGGGCCCTCAGTAGATCAAACCTCTAAAACACAATGCTTAATCTCGCCCCAGATCTCTTGTTGACGCAGCTGAAGGCCAGATCTGGTTCAATCCGACTTGTACTCATGATCGCCTGTAAGGAAAGTGACAGGCGAAGAAAGAGCGCATGCTCAAAATAAATCCTCAAAATTGCAGCAATTTTTCTATGTGTTAAAACAACAAATTTGATGGTGCCTTGAAGTTTTTTCGAAAAAACCTGGTTATACATGTATACATCTTAACTATGAACCAACTAATTTGTTGTTGTTGTTCTTCTTTGCAACATTAAATTCAACGCAACAGCTTAAAATGGACCCCTTTTAAAATTAATCATCATAGCCCGCTAAGCCTTTAAAGCAGAGCACGTCTACTTCTACGCAAAAATTATTTTTCCTTTTCAAACCTCTTTATTGATACCGAGAGAGAGAGTAAAAAGACAAGATATAAATTGTATTACAATATATATTGAAAAAAAAAAACTACTTCTTGAGTGCAAATATTACTCTGAACTGAACTGGACATGTTGAATGTTGTCATCTGCCATGCTGTGGCTTATGCAATTCAGTGATTTAGCACTCTTCATTATTGTTCAATAAATATTTTTTGTAGAATAAGTCATTTTTCATGTCAGAAAAAAAAATCAACTTGCAAAAACCCTAAGGCTTTTTTCAAAATGTTTCTTGGTAAAATAATTTGTCCCATGGGTAATGACTTAAGCTTTGAGTGTGCATAATGAACATTAAATTTTAACTGCTGCATTCAATTTGATGTTACCAAAAAACAAACAACAACAACAAATAAGGTTGGACATACTTGAGCTGTGCGTAGTATAACCACATTCATGACAGGCCAACGAGACATGTGGAAAAATTGGATTTTTGTCAGACAAATCATTACACGTCCAGTCCCATAAGAAAACATTTTGTCATTCTAACATTCCATTGTTTTTCATTCAGACTTTGCCTTGCTGGCTTTCTACTTTTCTCAAGTGTTTTTTGTCAATGATTTCATTTAGCTTACAAGTTCAAATACAACACAGAAAATGTATCAACACACCGTAACCTTCAGCTGTCGGTTATCATCATCTTTCATTTCTTCATTCATATGCTTTCATTTTTTACTGACACTGCCTTCTATTATTCGGATTCAATTCAACCAGAAGATTCATATCTTTCAATGACTCTTAAAAAGGCTATAATATACATGTATTGCGCAGACTTGATCCCACTCAACTGAATTGCCTTAATCATTTGCTGTCTGAGAAAATCCTTACTACAAAATTTTTTACATGAATTTCTCAAGTTTGCTGATTCTTTTATTCTTGTTTCACACACAAAAAGAGATAATAATTTGTGTACACAGTCACATATATCAACAAGTTTAATATTGTTGTAAAGGTTGATTTTAGTTTTCGCAATCATACAATCACCCGCTACATCCACACACATACATGCGCATAGGTTAGAGGTTTCTTACAAAATTTTGAGCCGAAAACTTTACCAGCAGGAAAAGTATAAATACGTTATTTACTGCCCCAGGAGGACTCAGATGAAGGAGAATATGCTGGATAAGTTTTCTGATAAAATTTTCCTTTCGGCAAACTAACAAACTATTGTGTAGGTCCTGGTAAACAGCCTTTGTCTCTCAAAATTCCCCACTATCCAAGAGGGTGCAATTTGCAGGTTGCAGGTAGGATGTAGGATGCAGGTTGTGATTTGTGAAAAGAGTTAAATGTCCTGAATGGTTTCCAGATCTTCCCGAGCCCAGCTTCGACTATACTTACAGAAAAGACCAGTTCCTTGTCGCTATTTCTTCTGCCGTACCTACAAATATGTAGTAGAAATTACACAGCCATGGTGACCCAATTTATATGTGCGACTTGTCTAAACACAAAATAATGTCTCATATCAGTTAAAAGCAAAACAAAACGAAAAAAGGTCAGTTCGTGCACTGTTCAATGAAATCCACGTTGGATCCATGCAGTGGATAGCCAGTGAGAGCAGATAATTAACCAACAGAAATTTCAACATTGTCTTTTTTTGACCATTAATTTTGTTATTTCATTTTATTTTTGTTTTAAAAAGTGTAAAGAAAACAAAAATACATGATCTCAAATTTCAACAGCGCTTGAGAAATTCTGATTTACAGTGAAGTGGGGTACATAATGGCCTGTCATTGAATGCAAAACTTACCTCCCTGAGTATAAAGAGATTTGCGAAATCTAACTCACTTCTATTTGGAACCTCCCTTCTTGCTTGAAAGGTCTGGAACTAAAGGATCGATTTACAGAACTGAGATTTGAAATTTCTGATTTTGCGTGACCCTGTCACAAGAATACGGATATCACCAAAACGTCATTGTGATCTCCTGTTTTAAGGGCTCAAGAAGATATGTAAACCATTTAACTCTTAACTCTTTTTCAAGATCTAACCTGCAACACTGATCTGCAACCTGCAATGTGCAAATTTCACCCTTTGCCCACTATCCAGTACACAAATTTGGATTTGTATGTGTTGTAGTTGATCTTTTATTTCAATTAATTTTCAAGTGTTTTTGGGTATGGTAGTGTATGCTAATAAATTTAAAACAAAGGAAAAAGAAAAATTAATTGAAATAAAAAATTAACTGCAACATATGCAGGAGCCAACATGCACAGAAGGTCATCACCTTTTTAATATTGCATCACTATCTGTGTCACTACCTGTTCTCCCTCCATTAATTCTCCCACTCCTTCTCTAAAACAGGACACCGTTGGATAGTGATGCCTGCAGAGGAGGCTACAGAGGTGCATACTTGAACACTATATTAGTATAGGTAATAGCA